TGGGGTAGGGTCTAGGCTCCCTTTACTGCTCCAGCACCTGGTGGGGGGCCCTGCCCAGCTAGGCTGAGTTAGGCTGCCACATGCCACACCCTCATGCCAGAGCAGAGAAAAGCAGGCCTTAGTGTTGCAGGAAAATGAGGCCCAGTGGAGAGAAACATCACCCAAACACCATGTTTAAAAGAGAAAGGGCTTTATTCCAGCCAGGGCAGTGACAGCACAAAAGAGTTCAAAATGGCCACACTCCCTGACCAGCTCAGTCTTCTCCTTTTTATCCCCAGTCAAGAAGTTCTGGCCCACAGGTACCTTTCTCATTGGTCAGTTTGAATCAAGCTGGTGAAGTGGCTCTGGCTTTTACAGAACCATGGACTTTTACAGAAACGGAAGCAAGCATTAATTTCCAGGTCCCAGGAAGTTAAGTTTCTACCATTTTCTAAGAGCTGAGTCCCCCTGGGGAGGACCTCAAAGGTATATCCTTGGTGTCTCCTTGAGAAGACCTCTGATCTCTTAGACCTCAGTTTTTCCAGGAATCCTCTCTCATTAGCAAGGGGCGCTCCCCTTGGTTGCTAAAGGAAAGGGGGCAGGCATGGGCTTTGGCTACAAGCCAGCTGAAGCCAAAATTGCAAAACTGCTCTCTATTCTGCCAGGCAAGCAAGATTCAAAGGAGGAAATGTCTCGGTGCAAGAAAGCTGGGTCTATGACCCCTTGTGGCATGCTCCCATGGGTGAGAGTTCCTATGGGTTGCTGCTGGTAGAGAGCCTGTGGATGGGTGGGGGGAAAGGTCCCCTTTACCCTTCTATTTGGCTCCCGGGTCCTTTGGGTCTGGTCTTCTCTGTCCTTTCTTTACTTCCTCATTCTTGTATTTGTCCTCCTAGTTCTTCTTGGGGGGTGGTGGTGGTGGTGTCACTGAATGCCTCAGTTGCCTTTCCGTGCAATCTACCCCTCAATTTCAATTGCTCCAAGTTGACTTCAGTCTAATCCTCTTTCCAGCTCAGGTAATCAGAGCTGCCTCTAGTTGGCCATCTTGTCCCTCCCTCTGACTGTGAATGATTTAAAACTTCTTAATTATCTATGACCAAATGAATTCCTTTGTAAAGGGTTGCATTTCCCACTCATAATCATGAGAAAATCCAGAGCATTGAGGCTACTAACTCCCATCCCATTATTCTTTCTCTGAAACCTGCCCTTCTGTTCAATAAGTCATCTGTGGTGGCATCAGTAGCAAGACAGGTAGACATACATGTACTAAGATGTTTTTTTTAATTAAAAAATACTTTCATCTGGTTGGGCATGCTGGCTCACACATGTAATCCCAGCACTCTGGGAGGCTGAGGCGGGTGGATTGCCTGAGCTCATGGGTTCAAGACCAGCCCGAACAAGAGTGAGACCTTGTCTCTAAAAATAGCCAGGCGTTGTGGAGGGCACCTGTAGTCCCAACTACTTGGGAGGCTAAGGCAAGAGAATCACTTGAGCCCAAGAGTTTGAGGTTGCTGTCAGCTGTGATGCCACAGCACTCTAACAAGGGTGACAGAGTGAGACTCTGTCTCAAAAAGAAAAAATGCTTTCCTCTGTCTTCCTTGTCCCCTAGACATTCTCTTCTCCCTGGAAATGCACAGAAATCTCATTTTATGAATCTGAGACTTTCTCTACAAGATATTTTGCTTTGTAAATTACTTTTGGAGATTGGCTAAAATGCCAAAACAAAGTTCTAGGTGAGGGTGAGGAAGTGAGAGAAGGTGTGTGTCTGATGACTTCCTGCTTGGATCCCTAACTCTGGACATAAATCCTTGACTATTTCCCTATCCAAATCTATTTATTAAGTACAACTGGGGCATTAATGATATTGGATTTTATTTGCTATTATAAAACCAAAATGGTTAAAGATAAAATTCTTATCACATCGGGGAAAAAAGGCAAAATATTATGGGATTAAAAATAACTTAAAGAGTTGGCTTGGCGCTCAAGTGGCCAAGGTGCTGGCCACATACACCTAAGGTGGTGGGTTCAAATCCAGCCCGGGCCCACCAAAACGACAGCAACCAAAAAATAGTTGGTCGTTGTGGTGGGCGACTGTGGTCCCAGCTACTTGGGAGGCTGAGGCAAGAGACTCGCTTGAGCCCAGGAGTTGGAGGTTGCTGTGAGCTATGATGTCACAGCACTCCACCCAGGGGGATAGCTTGAGGCTATATCTCAAAAAAATAAAAAATAAAAAAAAAATGAAAATAACTCGAGTGTATTTTTTTTTTTTTTTAAATTTTGATTTCTCTGTAGAAAATGCAGTGAGTTACTATAGATACATTGCACTAGATGCCCCCAAATTCACCTCTATTCCCAGGGTTGTGTGTGCAGGAATTCGGAGGCTGGCCTGTGGTAGAAGTGTCATAAGAGACAGCACTAACCAGTACTATGATCTCAAGTTTCTCTTCGGCTGCATGGTAATTGTGTGGATAACAAGATCTGCATGCAAATCATGACAGACACTGCTACCAGTCATAGATGAAAACTACGCACACTCAAGCAGGGCTCTCTAAGAGAGATCTGAAACATCCAGTCTAAAATTAGCTGCTATGCACTGTTACCTTCTCCCTGCCCTCTGTTGATAGCAGACCCTAACAACGTCATTTATAGGTGGGTTTATTACATAAAATTAAATGTGAATATTTTAGGAAATACTATTCTGAAATTGAGAAGTCCATTTAAAAGCTTATTTGAGAGGGTTTAAGAGAATTTCCCTGTGTTCCAGCTGTTACGAAACTGAAAATAATAAGAGTAGGTAGAAAATCAAGGCTTTACGACTATAGTTGGGCACAGTGGCTCATGCCTGTAATCCTAGCACTATGGGAGGCCAAGGGAGGGTGGCTTGAGCTCAGGAGTTTGCCTGAGCAAGACCAGATCCTTCTCTCTACTAAAAACAGAAAAATTAGCCTCTACCACAAATAGAAAAATTAACTAGGCAAGGTGGCAGGTCCCTGTAGTCTCAGCTACTCAGGAGGATGAGGCAGGAGGATCACTTGAGCCCAACAGTTTGAGTTGCTGTGAACTAGGCTAATACTACGGCACTATAGCCTGGGTGACAAAGGGATACTCTTGTCTCAAAAAAAAAAAAAGAAAAAGAAAAAAAGAAAAAAAAGAATTCACAAGACTTCAGTAGTGTAAAAAATAGTTCTGGAAGACATAATAAAGTGCCTAATGGCAGCTAATGTGCATCATCTGAGATTAATGAGACTAACCTAAGACTGTTATACCTAAGCTACTCGGGAGGCTGAAGCAAAAGAATCACTTGCACTCAAAGAGTTTGAGGTTGCTCTGAGCTAAGATGCCAGGGCACTCTACCAAGGTTGACCAAATGAGACTGTCTCAAAACAAAAAACAAATTTCAGTACACTTCCAGGTGAATTTTTTTTTTTTTTTTTTTTTTAGACAGAGCTTTAAGCTGTTGCTGTGACATCACAGATCACAGCAATCTGCAACTCCTGTGCTCCAGTGATTCACCTGCCTCCGCCTCCCAAGTAAGCTGGGACTACAGGCACCTGCCACAACGCCCGGCTATTTTTTGGTTGCTGCTGTAGTTGTTTGGTGGGCCTGGGCTAGATTCAAACCCGCCAGGTCAGGTGTATGTGGCTGGCGCCGAGCCCAGGTGAATTAGTGAAACAGCAAACAGATCTCACTAAAACACAGTTGAGCTACAGACAGAATCTAAAGGATAGTTTCTGAGAAGGCAGAGGCACTTGCAGAAAAGGGAACCAGAGATACACTAAGCATCTAAAACTGAGCTAGTTTGGGGCATTTGTGTTGAAAAACAATTTGTTAATATGGCTGTGTCCAATTGTACTGAGGTTAAAATGATTAGTCTGTTGAAAATATTGTGTTAAGTTACTGGGATGAGAAAGAGATAATGGGAGTACAAGTTCCAACAACACAGAACATAGAAGAGAAAGTAACAGAGAACATTTCACTAATGTTCAAGAAAACCTATTCTGAGGACTAAGCCCTGACTCTTGAACAACAACAAAAAAATAAAGATCTCCAGAAGTGGGGTAAGACTTGAGAGAAATATGCTCAGGGACAGGGTGCCATACTTACCATATAATTTTCAGAACACTAATCCAGTATTTGGAAGACCTACTTCTGGTAAATAATTGAATGAGTTATTTGTGTTAAAATAAAAACATTTTTTACTTAAAAATAGGCGTATAAAAATTGGCATTTAAATTAAAAAAAAAAAACGTAAAAAGTCCTAGCCTCTGGTGGTACCTGTGGCTCAAAGGAGTAGGGCACTGGCCCCATATGCCAGAGGTGGTGGGTTCAAACCCAGCCCCGGCCAAAAAACTGCATTACAAAAAAAAAAAAAAGTCTATGTTAACCAGTTTGATGAGGGTATTTCAAAATGTATATGAAAACAGCACACTATACCCCATGATTGCATTAATGTACATAGTTATGCTATAAGAAATAAAAAAAAAAGTCCTAGCCTCAAGATTAATTACATTTACATGAAAATGAACAATGAAGATCTACTAACAAGTACCTTCTCAGAATTCTCTATGGATGAGGGCTACATTTTTCCTAGACTTTTTTTTTTTTTAAACCCTGCAATTTGAGTAAGAGAATTATAACATCAATCAGTATGTAAGAACAAATTATAGGCTTGGTGCTCGTAGCACAGTGGTCACGGCGCCAGCTACATACACTGAAGTTGGCAGGTTCAAACCTGGCCTAGGCCAGCTAAACAACAATGACAACTGTAACAAAAAATAGCTGGGCATTGTGGTGGGCCTGTAGTTCCAGCTACATGGGAGGCTGAGGCTAGAGAATTACTTAAGTCCTAGAGTTTGAGGTTGCTGTGAGCTGTGACACCATGGCACTTTACCGAGGGTGACATAGTAAAACTGTGTCTCAAAGAAAAAAACCAAAACAAAACAAGAATGAGTTATAAAATTCAGAAAAGGATAGGGTCAATATAATCAATGTAAGCTTATAAGAAAGATAAAGCCACACTGCCATATTTCATATTTTATTCAATTTTAATATGGTTTCCATTATTAACTTTTAAAACAAAATGATTTCCAGTTTAAAAAACAATGCACTGACCACATAGTTCCTTTTTCATTTTATACAGTTATACAAATATTCTAAATACACATTTTGTGTTCAAGATGATGGGAAATAAGATTAACTGTACAGTACATAAGGAAAGAAAATATTTTAAGCATATTTAGGAGCAATAGAAATGTCTATACAAAACAAGCAAAAATGGAATAAAATTTTTTATTTTTAAAGTATTGCAACAGGCCCACAGGTTTGTAACAAAAATGTCTTTGCACAGTTCCTCACAATGCCCCATTAATTGCTAAAGCAAGACAGCGATTTTTAGAAAATAATGTTTAAAAATGCTACACATGGTACTATTGTTTGCACAGTTTGATCAAAATAACGATCTACTTTGAGTCAAGCAAAACCTAGAAGAAATATACCAAACAACTTGAAAATTATCTGTATAAAAGTCATTGCACATTATTTTACTTAGTTGTTTGAAAAGTAAAAAAGTGTATTTACAAAATATTTTGCAGTCAAAATTATAAAGTGAATGGATATCTCTAAGTTACACGTCCTGATACAGACAGTTCAAGGAAAACACACGAATGATTTTTCTTTAAGAGGTTTTCGGTGCTCCTTCCACAGGGAAGTAAACATAATCTACTAAAATGGATTTACAAGATGGCACACATACTGGAGCAAATCCAACACCTGCATTATAAAACAATGTTTAAAAGGTGAAAGAATGAGGAATTTGTACATTGTAAGAAGTGAGCTATTCAGAGCAACAAGTACAATTTTTAAATCAGCATAAAAGTCTTCAGATAATAGACAATGAACATCCTTGACTTGATGAAAGTTGAAAAAGCACCATGCACAACAGTTTAGTGGTGAACACTGAAAAAAATAGCACCTGGAATTCTGTGACATTGACAATTTAAAACTGGTCTAGTAACTGCCGGAGATATGGTGCCTTGGATAATTCTCTATTTACTCGAGAGAGTTTGAAAAGTACTGGGCAGTTCAGAGAAACACACGGTATATGTCGATCAAAGCACCCTGCACAACTCTTGCATATCTGAAAGCAAAAGAGAAATTACATTAAAATCCACATAATAGCAACTACTCAATTAATAAAGACTAGAAAAAGTATTTTTTTCAAATTAGTTTATTCTTTTATACACCAATCATAAAAGTTATTCATTTTCTTATTTCAGAAGAGAAAATGTCATTGTGAAAAAAAATCAAACAATGTGTGCTTGAATCTGTATCTTTTAAGGCTCCAAAGTGATTCTGATGTGTAGTAAGATTTGATCTTAGGGAAAACAATAAACCATAAGGCAATATTTAAAACGAGAAGAAGCATTTTAATACATACAATGATCAGATTTTAAACAATAGAGGCTTAAGTCACATATATAATATAGTTTTTAAAAAGATGATAAAACAAGAAAAACAACTAAAAAATCAACAAGGATGCCAGTGAGGACTCCAAGGGTCAAGAAACATGGGTTGATTTCTCACTTGAACAGCATATCCAAATGATTAAAAAAGGGATACCAGATAGTAGCTACTTTAGATTGTCGTTTTTTGAGACAGAATCTCACTATGTCGCCCTGGATAGAGTGCTGTGGAGTCATAGCTCACAGCAATCTCAAACTCTTGGACTCAAACCATCCTCTCAGCCTCCCTAGTAGCTGGGACTATAGGCACCTGCCACAACACCTGGCTCTTTTTTTAGAGAAGAGCTCTTGCCCTTTTGCTCAGGCTGGTCGCAAACTCCTAAGTTCAAGCAATCCACTTGCCTTGACCTTCCAGAATGCTAGGATTATAGGCATGAGCCACCATGCCCGGCCCCTCTAGATTGTCTTTTAAGAGACAAGAGAATTCTTTGACCTACATTTATCAAACAGCTTCTGTTTTAAAGATGCCTTACATAGCAGTGAATTTTTGTTCTTTGCCCCAATATCTTCCAGTCGACCAAAGAGCACATTTTCCTGAGTACGATGGTTCTTGTTTCTGATATGATATTTGCCACAGCAAACTGCTTAGAAACCTGTGCTTCAGTATGTTCCATGAAGATGGAGTACACTGTTGTACAATGAAGACTTTGCTAAGAGACTCAAATCTGTTCCCAAATATAGAATTTCTATATTACAGCTCTGAACTGTAGCTACAGTAAGGTGCCAGGACAAACCGATAAATATTTAAGCCCTCTGTGTTTGTCTCATAAATAACCCTAGATAGAATTACTTGACTCACTAAATTTAACTCTAGTTTCAAGATCCTTTACTGGTTATTTAAACCCTCAATTCAGGCTTATATCTAAAACTTTAATTACTACAGCTCGGCACCTGTGGCTCAAGTGGCTAAGGTGCCAGCCACATACACCTGAGCTAGCAGGTTCGAATCTAGCCTGGCTGCCAAACAATAATGACGGCTGCAACTCCAAAATAGCTGGGTGTTGTGGCGGGTGCCTGTGGTCCCAGCTACTTGGGAGGTGGAGGCAGGAGAATGGCTTGAGCCCAAGAGTTGGCGGTTGCTATGAGCTGTGACGCCATGGCACTCTACTCAGGGCAACAGCTTGAGGCTGTCTCCAAAAAAACCCCCCCCAAACAAAAAGAACTTTAATTACTACAACTTGGACACTTACTTTTTAGCTCACTAGGAGCAGACATTTAAAAAGTATCTAATTAAACCTTTATGGATGCTTTCTTTTTGCTATCCTTTGGCTTTATTTTTTCAAAAAATTTCAGATGTCTAATTCATTAGTCTTTATTCTTTCATATTATTAGAAGTATTTCAGGTGATGAATTTTTTTCTCTGAGATCTTCTTTGGCCATCTGGAATTGTATATGTAATTGATTTCATATTGTTTATATGAGCATGTTAGAATTTCTAAGTGGAAGGGTCATTTTGTTTGTCAGTTTATAATTAATTACTTAGTTTTATATTGTAGCAAATGTCATTTGTAGTATTTCTACAAATGTTTTCGAAATTTTCTTTTTTCTTTTTTTAGAGACAGTCTCATTTTGTCACCCTCGGTAGAGTGTCATGGCGTCACAGCACAGCAACCTCTAGCTCTTGGGCTTAGGTAATTCTCTTGCCTCAGCCTCGCGAGTAGCTGGGACTACAGGCTATTTTTTTGTTACAATGTCCAGCTATTTTTTTGTACAGTTTAGCTGGGCTGGCTTTGAACCTACCACCCTCGGTATATGGGGCCCGCACCCTACTCAGTGAGCCAGGGGTGCCGCCCCTACTTTTTGAAATTTTCATAAAGCAGAAACAATTGGAGAGGTAATGAGAAATAAAAACATTAAAACAAGAGATTCTAATATCTCTCAGTCCAAGACCAATCTAGCGATCAGACAAAATTAAGTACAAATATGAAAGATCTAAACAACATTATAAGGTAGTTTAGGATCATATATTTATACATCAAACTATGTCTCTGAAAAATCTGATGGCTTTGGATTCCAGGTCTATCAAATAAGGCCATACCTTTACAAGTTGCTCCTGTTTACGTTCCAGCTCTCGAATTTCTTGATTGAGGATGACTGCAACATGCTGAGGTTGGCTCCGACATTTACTACAGATGCCATGCTGAGTCAGGTCATCACACACAGGACAGTGTAAGGTAGTGAAATATTGTGAAATAGTGCCTTTCCGCCCTTCAAGTTCATTTCGAGAGGAGCTAGTGGCTTTCTGGATCTATAAAGACATTGATTCAGAAATAAGTTGGAACCAGCTTCATAGAAGAACTG